TATATATATATATATATATATATATATATATATATATATATATATATGGCAGGACATAAATTCGTTGTCCAATGTTATTCTTTCCTTTGTAAGAGCAAAAAACAGATTAAAGATTCTCGAAACTTCCAACGCCCGGGGGGGGGGGCTTATTGTATAGGGTTGAAAATCTAACCCCCAAACAACGTCCTGCTTAGCTCTACTTATAAGTACTACATTCACATTCAAGTAGGATATTGATTATTTTACTAATTCGATTATTTCAAAGACACTAGATTTGCGTTAAGTAAAACTGAGTTGAGTAGATAGCACTCTTCATGACATTGTTTTGTATTTAAAAATTATTTCTAATATACAAAAAATGAATTTTTCGACAGAACAGGGTAACACCTGGAGTCTTTCCAATTATGCTGTCATCAGAGGCGACCAGATGTTTCCCCACTTAAGGCAAATGAAGTAGGTAGCACAGTCGGGCAAAAAAAAACACTGAAAAGCGAATATGTGTAAATGGGAAATTCAACTCCTGAACAACCTGCTTCAAATTTTATAATCCTAAAGTGACCTGCTGGTTCTGGCAGTCTGTCAGGGAAAAGACCTGTATTTGCTATGGATTTTTCTTTCCTATTACCACCGTAGAAAGGAATTGATTTTTCAATAAAAGAAGACTTAGATTTGAGTGCACATCATAGTGATTTAAACAAAAACAACCAAAAAAATTAACCAATGGAAATATGAGGAGGCGAAAGGAATGATGATTGACGCAGAGAAGGAACTTGAAGGATGCGTCTAATACAGGCCGTACGTGACAGTAGGGGGTGGAGGAATTAATCTTGAGGTCGAAAAGAATTTCATGAACCCTGTAGCTGAGTAATTTTTCACCTTACTTTTCACTCGCCTACCTTAAGAGTTAGAACAGAGGCAACCGAGGCTTCCCTTAGATGCGTGAATTGAAAGTAACAAATAGGTATTATTGAGCACCCAAACTTGTTGGGGGTGGAGGAGGGGGGGGGAGGGGGTTAGGCGTGCTAAAATTAATAAATTTTTCAGTATTAGGCGACGGAAGGAAATCAGTAAATAGCTCCAAGGAGCATACTACAGGATACTACAAGGGATTTGTTGAATGAATCCTTTTTTTGCCTTCAGGCCTAACCTCGCAGGGTTATCAGTGTGGTGTGTGCGGTAGTGTCTTCCATCGAATCTGTCGTATATTCGTGGAAGAGCATCCGCCTTGTCCAGGTCGAATGCTCGTGGAGAGACCACCACCTCTGCCGCCAGAAGCTTTCATCTTTCCTCCTCAAGACACCGATCTTTACCAACGCGAAACGAAACTCCCAACTGCCGCTCCGATCATCAAGCACACCTACTTTACTGTTCCACTTGAAAAACAGGTGAGATGCGCACTCATTTCTTTGATTTCGCGCACTCTCTCTCTCTTGCACTACTTTTTTTTTACTAGTATGCGGATAAACTAAGTAAGTTAAGGGGTGGTTAGGGTTAAATTGCCCCAAATAACCTTTCTGAAAATGCCATTGGGACGCGGTGAGGGATGGATTTCGAATCACATTTTCCTACCTCCCAAATGAAATCCATATCGATGTGTATCGATATGCACATTTGCTTAAGGCTTTCTACTGGTTGCTGAAATTTCCGGAGTGTTGATCGTTCAATCATGTAGTCTTGATCACCATTGAGCCACTATCGGGGTAGGTGGGGGTTTGGGGGGGAGGAGGGGGTTGGGGAAGAAAGAAGTAGCGGACAAATAAGTCATTTGAGTTAAAACGGGAATTATTGTTTGAGGTTTTTGGCTGCCTATGGTTCTCACCAGTAATCATTTGAATTGTGTGCTTCCTTCTTCAGATTACTGACGCTGACGATGTACCCATTTTCCTCTCCACTGCTACCCGAATCTTCGAAAAACTGGCCACTTTCAATGCAAAGGGGACACCAAAACGCCAGGCTCGTCAACAGTCTTCCACATCAACTCCTCCGCTTCCTATGGTTGGCTTTTTTTATTCTTTAAATTATTATTATCTTTCTATTTTTTTGTCGTCACCCCTTCGGTCATATTAAGTACATGTTAATAGTGCAATTTTGGCTCATTTTCCTCTCTGTAAGCTTCATACAAACTCCGAAATAATGGCCAATGTATGTAGCCCTTTGTGTTTATTGATTAAATGATTTGTTTGATTAGTACCAACTACATCCAGTTTAGATTATTTCAGTAACTACCGGACCTGAAAACAAGTAGGCTTGGCTTACTTTTCTTTTCATCTTCTAACAAAACCAAAAATTTTCCTTTGCCTCATCGTTCGTAGAATTGTTTTACTCTCCAATGGCAGTCTTTCTGTTTCAGTTTCTTCAAAGCTAAAGCTTTTTTATTATACCACATTAATTCGTGTCTGTTGCCAACTAAATCGTCTCAGGCAGCCAAAGGTTTGTCGAGCTGAGCATGACTAACACCCCAAACTTAATCAATCGGTCAATCAGCTCTGGAATGTGTGTCGGTCTACTACTATTCTCAACGGCTCTTTCACTTTTTTTTAGGCGGACTGTGTAGGAGTATACCGGACTTCCGCAAACGGTCAGGAGCTCTACGAACTAGAGTGTGCTTATGCCGATCAACTTCCAACGGACATTGAGACCAAACCCATCCATCCCTTGGAGAAAAGTCTCGTTACCCTAGCGCAGCTCATCAAACGCTTTCTTCGCCAACTCCCTCAACCCGTTATTCCAGTGGAGCTCTTTCAGCGGACACTGGACCTGGCTTCTTTGCACCCACTCATGCACGATTCGAAGACTTCACCCAATGACGCATGTACATTTTGAGGCTGTATAGATTTCAACCCCCTCGCACAATTAATTGAGACAGTTGGGGGTGGGGGTGGGGGGTGGGGGGAGCACCGAAGCGGCGGTGGTTGGGCCTTTTCACAGATGAAGCAGTCTAGCACTTATTTGTCCTTCGATAGATTTTCGACATTTGTCTCGGCCCCGTTCACTTTAACCTGCTGGCAGTGAAGTTCCATTCTGACTCTTTTTTATTTTTTAAGTTACTGTTGTTGATTGCTGGCTTACTTGTGAAGCCAGCATTAGCCATTGCATAATTTAATTGTCTTACTCTATCGATGAGCATCTGTTTAGTATCCACATGAATTTATCCAAGCCAACTCTTAGTGATGCTCGTGTGTGTTGAAGGTGGAATTCCAATAGGATTTTTGGACAGGATCTCGCCTGTGAGGACTTGCTCATAAATTAAGCCATTGTTTTTGTTATTTGTGCCAAAAATTGAGAACTTTAAATTATTTTTTTAATACAGGGTGCCTAAATTCGAGTTCGTTTATGAGGAGTAGAATTAATCCACGGGGCCTCAAGTTTCCTGTTTCACACATCTGCAGCATGAAATTTAATCAATCGATCAATCTTGAAAATGTCTTTATAATCGTATATTCAAATCTCATTTCCTTTGTTGTTGGTCATGACAGCAAACAACCTTCATACATATACGAAGAGGAGGAAATGACAAAAAAACGGGTTCATCGAAGCATGAAATGGGGTCAGGAGACGAGAGTAAGTGGGGGGGGGGGGGGGGGTACTGAAAATCGGACATCACGAGTCCAACTTTGCCTGAACTCGAGAGCAAGAAGTTGGCCACACTCTCGTATGAGGGGGAAATTCCTGCTCCACCTTCATCGGTGGAGTTTGTTCGTGATTGGCCATGACACACATCATTATTACTACAGCTCACTTGATTTCCCTATTCTCATTTGAATGCACTCGACTTATTTGAATAAATTAGTCGCTCCGTTGTCCATCAACCGTATTCCCCCCCCCCCCCCCCCCCCAATTTTCATGATCAATTCTCAATGTCTATTTCGTTCTTTTTTTTGAAATTTGCTTTTGTTGTTTGAATTCACTCTTTTGTTTTAAACGAAAAAAGGGTGATTTTACGAACGGCGCAGTAAGACGCCCTTAAGGTTTATCTCCCACAATTATTATGAGCTGTATTGGACAGAAGACATTTTACCCCTCTCCAATACAATCTGGACAAAAATAGTCAAAATTGTTTCCAAGCGCGGAGTTTTTTTCGTTTTACCATTATTTCTCAGCCAATGATTCCGATTTAATCTTTGCCAATCACGCTCTTCGCTTTTAATTCTTTTTTTTTGTTTCTCCCAGTATTTTGGGGTGAAATCTGAATGACCTCCCCGTCAAGACGCAGGCGAACATAGTGAAGTTCAATCAGGAGTGGGGAATTGGGAATCTATCAGTTGGTGTTAATTAGCTCTCAAAATGAAGGGTCATGATTTTTGTTTTTTGTTTGTGGACTCGGGGGAGGGGGGGGGGCCCTTATAGGGTAAGCCCTTGTCGTTTAGTTATGTGGATTTGTAAAATGGATATGCACACACACTCACAGACATTTCAGGATTGAAGACAATTGTTTTGGGTCAGATTAATTAGGGATGTTTGATTAGCATCGAGCTTCCTAAAAATAGTTGCAGTCAAGGTTACTTGATTACAGATTTTTGATGTCGTAGGAGAATATCGTAGATATCGGATAGATAGATGGCTAATGTTGGGTTGACTGGCAGTATTGAATAGTTAGTTAGTAGTATTTACAACGAAAATGGTCCAGTGAAATTTTAATTCGAGTACATTAATATTAATATTGTCACTCTCTCTTTTTTATAGCTAAAATGGAGGAATTTCTCTCCGCTCTTCCACCTCGCAACTTAGCAACCCTTCGCCACTTGATGCTACACGTCAGTTTTCTGCTGTGCCATCAGCGTCTTCTCAAGGTGCGACTGTCTACTAACATGCCATCCAAATCCCAGAAGGGTCGTCAATCGGACAGTGTCTCCACAGCTGTCATGGATCAATTGGATGACCCTAGACAAATTCTCACCGTTTTTGCTCATGTTCTTTTGTGGCCTTCTTGGAAGAACGTGACCCTTCTCGCCTCCCAGGATGTGGAATCCAAACGTCTGTTTGCTCTGGATTGCCTCTTTGAGCACTTCAATAAAACACCGGGTTCGACGTCCGGTCATGGTCGGTCTGCACGTTCAGTGCAGAGTAAGTCGTCATCTATTATGATTTTGAACTCATAAAATTAAATGTAAATTAAATTTCTTTTATATGAATGATATAAGTATCGGGGTTTTCTCAAAGTCCTCCCATCCAAATAAGAGTTTATTCGGGTTGGCGGTTATTTGGGGTTAAAGGTTGAAATGCAGTCTTACAGCTTTTCTCTATTTGAGACTGAGGTTTGACTCCCTCTCTCCATGGGCGCTTATTCGGGTGGGTGGTTATTTGGTTCCAAAAAATTAGTTTCATGAAATGGAACTTTCCGTTTACTCTCGATCTGGGCTAATTTTCGGAAGACTCCGATAATTTGATATGCTTGAAAAGAACAAATTCAACGTTACCGCTCCAAAGTATTGTATCTAGCGATTTCGTCCATTGCGAGTAGAATTTTGAGGAGATGAAAGACACCAGAGGACTTAAAAAATATCATTTCGTTTCAAAGTATTTAGCCTCATATGAACACAGTGCAGAGAGCTCTCCTTAGAGAACATCGAAATTATAAGGAGGATAGGAGGGGTGGATCCGCATGTTCCTGAAATTGGCGCAATTTTAGAAGTCACCTTTCTCCTACTATCGGCCACTTTAGGGGTACTGAAATGAATTCGATTTCCCCCCCCCCCCCTACCTCCACTTCCTCGTGGAAGTCAACTGCCTTGTTGAGTTTTCACCAATGGAAGTAAACTCCTCAAGACTCCTGGAAATGCCAAGGACAGAGTGACACAAGACGCGGTCTGAGCTCCAGAGTTGTTCTCATTTTTCCTCATCTTACTTTACCACCATCGGGATCCGGTGATTGTATTACGCTTCTGTGGTGACCAAGTCATACTTGTAGAAGCAAAGACTAAATGATCAATTATTTGCGTAATATAAATATTTATTTATATCAATTGGCAGGCATTTTGGTAGTTATCATTAGCCCTTCAGTTGACTTCAGGCCCCACAGAGAGGAAGGAACATCAGAGTGAGAAAATTTCGAGGGGGAATAGTAGAGTGATTCATAGATGTAAAAGAGGCAGTCAGACAGACAGACACAGAGACAGAGAAAAGGTAAGTTGAATACTGTGGAAGTGGTCGAATATGATATCCACTAGGGCCATGGTAATTAGAAGTCAGCTGCCGGTTTATAGACTTTTGCCTTGTGAGTATACGTTGCCCAGGGTGCACCACGTGGAGGTAAGTCTATCACATTCCCCTTTTTTCATCATCATTTGTTGCCGCCGTCGGCATTCGGTGATTGTATTAAACTTTTATGATCAAGTCGGGTTTGTAGAACAAATACTAAATGAATAGTTTTGTTGATAAGGTCTAATCGGTATTTATATTACCCACGCACGATATATATATATATATAT